CCACTTCTGGCTTTTTTCTTTTTGCTTATGTGGTGCTGAAGAATTGAACCCAAGGCCTCTGGCATGCAAGGCATGCGCTCTACCACTGAGGTACCTTCCCAGCCCCAGGAAAGTGTAACTTAATGTGGTCAGGAAGACTTGATAGCCTCTACAGTAAAACTAAATTAAAAATATAGCATGCCCCTGGTGGTGGTAGTACAGATCTACAATCCCAGCATTTGGGAGACTGAAGCAGAAAGATGGCAAGTTCAAGGCTAGCCTGGATTATATAGACTCTGATTGCAACAAACAAAATATAGCATTGCCAGTGGGTCGTAAGATTTTTAAAATATTAACTATTAATAAAATTCTGTTTATTAATATTAGCTCAGTCTGTATTTCAGTATCAAGCTTTTTCCAGTTTAAAAGGGATACTAAAAGGAAGAAATGAAATGACACCTCACATTGCTTTATTGCCCCTTGTAACAGTCTCGATATTAATTTTGATTCATTTATTTTTTCAAATTTACTTTTTGTTTTGTGTCAGTACTGAGACTTGAACTCAGGGTCTGGGTGCTGTCCTTTATCTTTTTTTGCTCAAGGCTGGAGCTTTACCACTTGAATCTTACCTTTACTTCTGGCTTTTTGGAGTTGGCTATAAGAGTCTCGTGGACTTCCCTATTTGTCTGGCTTAGTGTGGTGATGCTCAGATCTCAGGATTATAGGTGTGAACCACTGATGCTCAGTTGTGATTGTTAGCTTGATTGGATTGAGAAATGCCCAGCAGATTTAGAAAAGCACCTTGTAGCTAATTTCAAAGACCTTTAGATTGTGAAAGTTCTAATAAATAGTTTGTTCCGCTGATGGATGAAAAATGTGAATAGACTATTCTGTGGTGAGGTGGTTGAATGTGGAAGATAGGGCCTGGCTGGAGGAAGCAAGTGACAGGGGAGAGTATCTAAGAAGGGCATAGCTTGTTCTTGCTCTGTCTCTTGCCCAGCTTCTTGGCTGCCATGAGCTGAGAAGTTATCCTCTACCATGCCCTTCCCTCCATGATAGACCAAAGCTCTGAATCTGTGAGGAAATCTATCCTTCCTTCTTTACATTATTTCCATCAGTATTATGTCACGACAATGAAAAAGTCTGACTGACACAGCCTAAAGGTGAAAGTTGTTCAGCATCTTTTTCCTTTTCTGTCTTTGACAGGAACACCAGTGTATTCAGTAGCCTGGGGCCCAGATTCAGAGAAGGTTCTTTACACCGCAGGCAAACAGCTCATCATTAAACCTCTCCAACCAAATGCAAAAGTTTCACAGGTACTGCTCAGGTATTTGTAAATTGCTATCCAGATCTACCTACATGTTAAGCTAGTAGTTACTTAAAATCTCTTTCTTCTGGGTGGTCTTTTTTTACAGTCTGAGGTCTTTTAAGTGTGTAGTTTTATTAACCTTTATTATACATTAGGGAGTATCTGTTTATGTTTCCAAGAAGGATTATTACTTTGTCCAATTCATATCATACCAGTAAATCATAAAGATGTTTTGGATTTCTGAATTTTCACATGACTTAGTACAGCTAGGAGTCTTTTACATTTATAGTCAGCTTCCAGTGTATAGACTTGAAACTAAACAAAATCATAACTTTTGGATTTGCTTAGATTTTTTTGTTTTTTACTTTATTTGATACAAAGTTTTACTAGGTAGTCCAGGCTGGTCTTGTCTCAGCCTCTAGAATGTTGGATTTATAGTATTTGTCATATGCCTATCGACTTTTTGTTGTTGTTGTTGTTCTTTAATCATCGTTATAAGTTATCTTGTCAAATACTGAGCTCTCTTTAAGAGCTTTAGCTTTTAAAGAGTATTCGTATATATAGAAAGTAAGCCTAATATTTAGAACAAATTAAGTGTATAGAACTTTATGAATATCAGAGAATATTTAACTTAATGAAAAATGTTGCATTTATATTTTCTCTCGTGCTGTTCAGAAAGCAGGAAGAGTTACTGTAGAAGTTCAGTATTTTTTATTTTTTATTGTGAAAATACTGTACAGAGGGGTTACAATTACATGGGCAAGATAATGAGTACATTTCTTATCAAGCATTGTAGCATCCTCCTTTGTTTCCCCTTCCCATCCATTCCCATTCCCCGCCCCCCCACGCCCCCCACCCAAGGAGAAAAGGGAAAGGTTGTTCTAAGCCTAGGATCCCCGAGGAAGGATTGTTCATAAATTAGAAATGACAAACCAAGAACCACACAAAAACAAGCAAAACAATAATAGTACTTAAGAAAGATAAGATGGGACAAATACATGGAAAACTTAGTTTTTCTTTTTGGTATCTGTACTGAACTTGAACTCAGGGCTTTGGTGCTGTCCCTTAGCTTTTTTGCTCAAGGTTGATATTCTACCACTTGAGCCATAGTTCCATTTCTGGCATTTTGGTGGTCAATTGGAGGTAAGAGACTCGTGGACTTCGCTGCTTGGGCTGGCTTTGAACCAGGATCCTCAGATCTCAGACTCCTGTGTAGCTAGGATTACAGATGTGAGCTCCTGGTGCCCCCGGTTGTAGGCATTCTTTTTTTCAAAAATTTTTTCTGTTATATGCATTCTTAATGTATCTTGAACATATAAATTCTCAGTAGTAGTACAATTGTGAATCAAACCTATAAAGGATAAGGACAATCCAAAGGCAGAGACCTGCCAGGCGCTGGTGGCTCACATCTGTAATCCTAGCTACTCAGGAGGCTGAGATCTGAGGTTCGAGGTTCAAAGCCAGCCCATGCAGGAAAGTCCATTAAACTCCAATAAAACCACCAGAAAACCGGAAGTGGTGCTGTAACTCAAGTGGTAGAGCACTAGCCTTGAGCTGAAGAGCTGAGGGACAGCGCTCAGGCCCAGAGTTCAAGCCCCACGACCGACAAAAAAAAAAAAAAAAAGGCAGAGACCATAAAGATAAAGAGAATGTGCAGAAAAAATTGAAGACATACTAAAGAATGATATACACACAGTAGAGTTCAAGCAAAAGAAAACAAGGTAGGATATAGCTCAGTAGTAGAGCGTACTTAGCTTGTCTGAGGCTCTGGACTGAATCTCAGTACCAGTAATGGGATCAACTGTACAAAGGATGCAGCCAGATTTGGATTCTGTTGATAATCTGAAATATATAACATTTGTTTTAGTTTTTTCACATAAATGTCAGACTTGAAATAGTTTAACACTAAGTGATTTCCATCTGGAATCTAGACATCTGAGCAATTTAATGGAAACGTAAGCTATACAGTAGACCTGGTGCTGTGAGTTGCTTTCATTGGTGTAACTTGGAGATGGCACCAGCCAATAAGGCATAGTGCAGAATGTTAGAAGGAATAAAGTATTAGAAAGAAGCAAACAGCTAGACGTAGTAGTGTGCTCTTGTAGTCCTAACCACTCAAGAGTCTGAGCAGGAGGATTGCTTGAGCTTAGGAGTTCAGGGCCAGCTTAAGCAATGTTGTAGTGAGAACTCTGTTACAAAAAATAAATAAATAAATAAAATATCCTTTTATAAAACAGAAAACAACTGTGTGTGTGTGTGTGTGTGTGTGTGTGTGTCCTAGGAATTGAACTAAGGGACTGGGTATTATACGTGAGCTTTTGAACTAAGGGACTGGGTATTATACGTGAGCTTTTTTGTTCAGGGCTAGTATTCTACCACTTGAGCCACCGTTCCACCTCTGGCTTTTTGGTGGTTAGTTGGAGGTAAGAGTCTCATGGACTTTCATGACCAGGCCAGCTTTGAATTGTGATCCTCAGATCTCAGTCTTCTGAATAGCTAGGATTACAGGCATGAGTCATCAGTGCACAGCTAGAAAACTTTTAAAGTTATACTGTCTTTTTTTTTCTTACAGTGGAAAGCCCATGATGGCATAATTTTAAAAGTAGATTGGAACTCAGTCAATGATCTTATTTTATCTGCTGGTGAAGACTGCAAATATAAGGTATGTCATTGTTTATAGGTTTTTGATTAAAGAATACCATGTAGATGAAAAGTATTTAGCATATATGGATATTCTTTTCAGTCTTTTCCCTTTAATAACCTAACAACTAACTTTCTAATTTTAACTGGTATTTTAAAATCCCAACTATAAAAATTGTCATTCACATTTAAAATTTAACTTAATAAGTAGCAACATCCGTTCCGCCTCTGGTTTTAGTGTCTTGATTTTAATCAGTTTGTTAAAATTAAAAAAAACTTTACTGCTTTACCAAATCTAGTCTATTTCAGAACATTTTTTTTATTAATAGTTGTACAAAGAGGTTTCACTTCCATAAGTCAGGTTATAAAAACAATGCATCTTGATAAGTTAGACCAAAGTAACTTGTGGAGAGTAAGGTTTTATTTCTTTTTGAAGTACTGGGGATTGAAATGGGGGCCTGGCACCTGCTAGGCAAGCTCGGTATCACTGAGGTGTATACTCCCAGGCCTCAGGAGAGAATTTAAAGTAATTGCAATTACAGGAACTTTAATTGAATTCAATTATTTTGGAGAAAGTTGACAGAGCTCTCATTGAACAGAAAGAAATTTAAGTGAAATATTTAGCAGCTCACAATTTTACTCTTAACCCTATGGCACTATGGAATTTGCTTTATCACTTTTAAATACACTAATCTTTAAAATTTCTCAAAAAGTAAGTAACCACTTAAAATAGATGGGTTTAATGTTTATGATTTAGCAAAATCTGAAAATTATAATACATTTTTTAGATATTTAATGTTCAAGGAATGCATTATATTTTTATCCCTTCTCTATAATAGTAAAGATATTTTATTGCTTATATTTTATTATTAGGATTCCTTCATTTTTATTTAAGGACAAAATTCTTTGTAGTAATGGGATGATTGTTATAAAAGATTTTTTAAAAATTTGCTTTTATAGGTGTGGGATAGTTATGGCCGCCTTCTGTACAACTCACAGCCTCACGAACATCCCATTACCTCAGTTGCCTGGGCTCCTGATGGAGAGATATTTGCTGTTGGGTCATTTAATACTTTACGCTTGTGTGATAAAACAGGGGTAAGTTCCCACGTGAGCACTTGCAGATGTGCTGTCAGATGTGGTGTTGCACCACATAACCAGTTCTCTCTCCTTTTTTTTGTTGTTGTTGATTGTGGGCTTTGGGGCCTGGGTGCTGTCCTTCAGCTCTTCAGCTCAAGGTGAACACTCTACCACTTGAGCCACAGTGCCACTTCCAATTTTCTAGTGGTTAATTGGAGATAAGGGTCTCACAGATATTCCTGCCTGGGTCAGCTTTGAATTTTGATCCCCAGATCTCAGCCTCCTGAGTAGCTTGGATTACAGGCGTGAGCCATAGGTGCCTGGCAGTGCAAAATATTTTTAATGACTTGCATTTGACTGAATCTTTCTGATTTTTCTGCTGAGTGTATTGGTTCAGTCAATTCCAGATTTATGGGCTTCGTTACTTGTTTTTCTAGAAATAATTCATTTTGACCAACTGAAAGATAGTAAAGTATTAAATTTGATGCCAATCAATATAGAGAGTACAGTTTTAATTTGTTTCAGCTATTAGTATGATTTGCACAAAATTTCAGTTGCTTTTATAAGGAATTAATAGTAAATAAAAAAAATTAAAACCAAAGGTCATATTTTTCTTTGTTAAGAATTCATATTTGAATATGTGTCAGAATTTTTCCTTATAGGATATTCCCATTTTCATACAACTAAATAGAACTAAATAGAACTTCATAGCACTAAATAGCCAAGGTCAGCAACATTTACCCATTGTTACTGGAAAATGACTTATTCCATTGAAGAGCTCACAAGGCATCAGTGACAGAAAGAGTTGGAGTTGTGTTAGTCAGTTTTCTGTCTCTGTCACTATAATGAAATACTTGAGAAAAATTATCTTTTTTTGGGGTAGGCTAGCGCTCTACCACTTGAGCCACAGTGCCACTTCCAGCTTTTTTCTTTTTGCTTATGTGGTGCTGAGGAATCGAATCCAGGGCCTCATGCATGCAAGGCAAGCGCTCTGCCACTGAGCCACCTTCCCAGCCCTCTCTTTCTTTCTTTCCAATTGTAGAGCTTGAACTCAGGGCCTGGGCGCTGTCCCTGAACTTCTTTTGCTCAAGGCTAGCACTCTACCTCTTGAGCCACAGCATCACTTCTGGCTTTTTCTGCTTATGTGGTACTGAGGAATTGAAGCCAGGGCTTTCTGCATGCAAGGCAAGCACTCTACCACTAAGCCACATTCCTAGCCCCCAAGCCTTTTCTTGAATGTTATCATTAGTACAGTGGGTTGAGCTGGTAATACCAAGAGGGGCTGGTGGAGGTGGCAGCAGAGCAGAGCAGCTGTGGCAGAAGAAGCCTTTAGCAGCAGAATAGGATCACCTTTTAACTAACTGACTGATATTGCTTTGATTTGTCAGCAGGTGGAGCTATTGCTTGTATAAAAGGCGTATAGCCTTTTCACTTTGCACATTGGCATTATACAATGATACTGGCTTATCATTATAAACCTTCCTTCTGTTTATTCACTCCTCCATATATATATATATAATTTAAGACAGTCTGTGAGTCACTAATTTCATGTAAGAAAGAATAATGAGGAGATGTTTTTTAAAATCAGATCATATGCCTTAAGGAACTATAAGGGACTTTCATCTATTTTCTCTGTGATTTATATTCATTTTATACAATACAATTTTATAAACTGAATTTGCCAAACAAAGCCAGAGATGATGTTTTTGAGGATCTTTTCAGTTCAGGAGTACAGTAGTAAAGAGGAATTTTTTTGTTATTATAAAGGTGATATACAGAGGGGTCACAGTTACATAATTCAGGTAGAGAGTACATTTATTTCTTCATCTTTGTCTTCGTCTTCATTGTTGTTTGTGGAGCTTGAACATAGGGCCTGGGCACTGTCCCTGAGCTTTTCTGCTTAAGTTTCATGTTCTACCATTTTGAGCCACAGCTCCACTTCCAGTTTTCTGGTGGGTAATTGGAGATAAGAGTCTCATGAATATTCCTGCCCATGCTGGTTTCAAACTGCAATCCTCAGATGTCAGCCTCCTGAATAGCTAGGATTGCAAGCATGAGCCACTGGTGCTCAGCTGTCCAACATTTTTATCTTCATGTGCTACTATTATTATTATTATAATACTTAGATTCTTCCTATGAAAGTGCACATAATATTTCTTCTTGAGCCTGGCTTATTTACTTAACATGATACTCTGACCTATCCATTTTCATGCAGATGGTGTAATTTCATTCTACTGTATGGCAGAATATAATAGACCATATTGTATATATACCACACTGTCTTTTTCCCATCATCTGTTGATGGATCCCTGAGCTGGTTCTGCAGCTTGCATAGTGCTATAGTAAACATGGGTGGGCAAGTACCTCTACTGTATTCTGACATACATTCCTTTGGCTATGCCCAAGAGTGGAAGAGGGGGAGTCTATGGTTAGTTCTGTTCTTAGGTTTCTGAGGAACCTCCATACTAATTTCTGTAGTAGCTGCCCTAATTTACATTACCATCAATAGCGTCCTGGTTAGCACTTGTTATTTATTTTCTTGATGACTGCCATTCTGACTTGGGTAAGATGGACTTAGCAGTGATGTTTTAATTCACTACATTCTGAGAAAAAGAAAAAGAAGAAATAGTTTCATGTATATCACACTCTTGTGATTTAGAATGTATATCAGATGTTTTACATTGTGTGTTTGTTTTCAGCTGTAGAGAAATTTTGAAATATTTCATAAGTTTTTGGATGTATGACAGAGGATCTCAAAAGGAACAAGTCTTATTTTTTCCTTCAGACTCTTTTCAGCATTGTCATTTAAAAGTTGTCATGAATATTAAAATGGTGTGAGTTTTTTATTTTATATGTGGTTTTATTGTACTTATTCTACTGTGAACTTTAAAAATTCTACCTCAGGCTTCTGTTTCTATACTGTGGTTACATTTTTCCTAATAAAATTATTTTTAATAATTCCAGATAATGATATACACTCTTTCCAAAAGAATCTTAACATCTTCACATGTACCCAGCTTATTAATTCTTTTTTTCTGACAAGTCAGTTTTTCTCTTGTTCTTCCCACTCCTCCCTTGTCCAGTGGTCCTATGCTTTAGAGAAACCCAACACCGGTAGCATATTTAACATCGCGTGGTCCATCGATGGCACTCAGATCGCTGGAGCCTGTGGAAATGGCCATGTTGTTTTTGCACATGTGGTTGAGCAACGTTGGGAGTGGAAAAATTTTCAAGTGACATTAACTAAAAGGAGGACCATGCAGGTAAGATTATGTCATGGCTGTTTAAATCTGCTTCTCTTCACCATACCCAGAGTTATTCTAGTTAACTATATTTACACTGTAAAAGCTCAATATTCCCACTGGAGCTCCGTGATCTGTACAATGGGCTACTTTTTCATCACATAAAGAGATGCTATGTGTAGTAATTACCAAGGTTATATGTTTAGGAGTGGTGAAGGAAATTTGAAGGAGTTAGGGACTATGTGGATTAAGTTAGGGAAGAGGAAATTTGAAGAAGCTAGGACAAATATGCACAAGTCAAACTTAGCACATACAGCTGACTCCAAGGCAAGCTGAGCCTGCTAGTTACTGATAAGGTTGAATTATCATTAACTTTTACTGTTCATAAAATAAATTTATTTAACTCAATTAAAAAAATTGTCCTTTAAGGGCTGGGAAGGTGGCTGAGTGGTAGAGCGCTTGCCTTGCATGCCTGAGGCCCTGGGTTCGATTCCTCAGCACCACATAAGCAAAAAGAAAAAAGCAGGAAGTGGCGCTGTGGCTCAAGTGGTAGAGTGCTAGCCTTGAGCTAAAAAGAGCTGAGGGACAGCGTCCAGCGCCAGGTCGTGGGTTCAGGCCCCACGACCGGACCCAAAGCAAAACAAAACAAAAAAAAATTGCCCTTTAAGGCTGGGTGCTGGTAGCTCATGCGCATATCCTAACCACTCAGGAGGCTGAGATATGAGGATCACAGTTCAAAGCCAGCCCTGATAGGAAAATCCATGAAACTTTTTATCTCTAGTTAACCACCAGAAAACTGAAAGTGGAACTGTGTTTCAAAGTGGTAAACCTCAGGGACAACATCCAAGCCCCACCAGCCCCTCTCCCCTCCAGAAAAATAAATTATTTAAGTCAAAATAAGAAAATGGCAGAAAGTTGCTCCTGGGACTTAGGAAGTCTGAGGGAGGACTTTTGTTACCATCTTTGGATTCATGTCTGACGCCCTTACGACAGTTAGTAAGACAGAAGCATTCAGATTTGTTTCCTGTCAGTTTTACATGGGATGGGAGCCTTCTTAGGAAATGAAGATCTGGAGAAATGGTTACACACCTGCAGAATGGACAACTGTGGAGAAATTAGCAAGGCCCCTTGGTTCTCACTCTTGTCTCTGTCTTCTGTTTGCAAGATAAGGGTGCTCCTTCCTCTGGCTGTAAGAAGCCCCTCTTCCCTGTAGTGTTTCGGGGAAGGTCAGAAAACCCTTCCTACCTTTTATAACCTGCTTCTGGAGATGACAGCAGAGAGAAGGCTAGAAGGCCTTTCTGCTTTCTTTCCTTTTCTCAGATTCCTTCAGCTTCACATATTCAGTGTCAAGTGCTACCATATTTGGGGTCAATATGAAGTGAAATATGTTAAAGTGAAGTATTTTTAGATTAATACACCGTTCTTGGATATGGCAAGGAGAGATGAAGATGACAGGCCAGAGAGCCTTGGTGTCTTGTCTACTCAGTTATAAGCCTCATTGTGGCATTTACACACCACACACACACACACACACACACACACACACACACACGATAATTTAGTAAAATTTACTTTCTCTAGTACTCTGTCATAACACCCTCAATGGTTCCCTCTTTAGTTTCTTGTGTGCCTGTACTGGGGCTTGAAATTGAGGCCTGGTCTCTGTCTCTTAGCTTCGTCACTCAAAGCTGGTACTCTATCACTTGAGCCACACCTCTACTTCCAGTTTTATAGTGGTTAACTGGAGATAAAATATCCAAATTTTTTAATTTGGATAATATATTTACCAGAGTCCTAATATAGTTTTTCTTTACTCATTTAAAAGTTTATATGGAGAATTGAATATGTACAAAATCAAATTGTCAAGCGCTTATTAATAACCCCCAGTTATTAACCCAAGATCAAGCTTCCCCTGCCTACCCTGTCTACTCTTCCCCTAATTTTTTTCTTTTTGTTGGTCATGGGGCTTGAACTCTGCACCTGGGTGCTGTCTGTCCCTCAGCTCTTAAGCTCAAGGCTAGTTGCTTGAGCCACAGCGCTACTTCCAGTTTTCTGGTTTTTCTGTTTTTGTGGTGCTGAGGAATCAAGCCCAGGGCCTCATTCATGTGAGGTAAGCACTCTACCACTGAGCTACCTTTCCAGCCCTCCCCTCATTATTTTTAAGCAACTTCAGACATCACTTTTCATGTGTAAAACTTTGAGTACAGTAGCTAAAAGATAGACTCATTTTAACACACTGTAGCACCATCAGCACACATTGAAAATAATAGTTCCTTAGTAACAAATGTAAAATAAAGTCTTCAAATTTTCAGTTGTCTCTTACACATCACAAAATTCAAAGTAAGGGCTGGGAAGGTGGCTCAGTGATAGAGTACTTGCCTTACATGCATGAGGCCCTGGGTTCGATTCCTCAGCACCACATAAGCAGAAAGAAAAAAGCCGGAAGTGGCGCTGTGGCTCAAGTGGTAGAGCTCTAGCCTTGAGCTGAAGAGCTGAGGGACAGCGCCCAGGCCCAGAGTTCAGGCCCCACGACCCGACCCCCAAAAAATAAAAACAACAACAAAAAAAAAACCCCAAAACAAAATTCAAAATAAGTTTTTAGGAACCAGGATCCAAGTGATTACAGTGTGTTGCATGCTACTTCTGTCTCTTTTAGTCAGTGAATTCCTTTTTCACCTCCCTTTCTGACCCCTGGTACTTTATTTGGCGAAGAAAGCAAAAGGATTTGATTTTCATAGTGTAGACTTAGCTGGTTGTATCCTTATGAGGTGTGGGTTTTTTTTTGTTTGTTTGTTTTGCTTTGCTTCTTGTTGTAGGGATGGAATCCAGGGCAAGTCCCCAGGCTACCTGGGGTGTGGTTGGCCTGCCTGTTCTTCCACATTTCCTCGAAATTAATAGTTGAGTATAGATAAGAGAGAGAGAGAGAGAGTGTGTGTGTGTGTGTGTGCGCGCACACACACACAAACACACTTCTGTTATTTAACTTAGGGACCAAAACATTCTGGCACCATGTCTGTAATAAGGAATGCATTCTACATTCTGATCAACTGATTGGGACATTCTTTTATATATATGATTCTTAGAAGCTTGCCAGTAAGAGGTTACTAAAAATAAGTTCAAGTCCTAATTTTTAAAAATGTCCTGTGTTGTGGAAAATATTTGTCTCTCTAAATAAACAGGAGTCATCCAAGTGGTTAGAGGGCTTTTATGATGGATTTTAAGTGGCTTATCTAGTCCAAATGATTGGTGTACTTAATATTTGTAAATATTTTTAAAGGTTTAGAATTTGAGAACCTTAAAGGAGGTTTTACACTCAGTGATTATAAAACATTGGCTGCAGCTTTTGCTAAATTGGGCTAAGTTATTTCCCTCTTGCATTTGGTGGTATTTATTGCATGGTCACTGCTTGCCAGACCTCAGGCTAAGCAGTGGGGAATGCAGAGGTGAATGAACCAAGCTTTGTTCTCTGTTTCCATGGACTTCCTAGTTAGTACCTTTTCCTTTTTCATATACATTCAACAGAAATTAAGGTGTGAAATGAAGGGGGAAAAAACACATATTGGTTTATATGAAGTTGAGAGAGTGACTGACTACCATTGTTGTTGTTTCAAAGGTTCAAGTAACATGGAAGTTCCTCTCTTTCTTTCCTCTTCTGTTCTTCCGTTTTCTGTGGTTGCCTCCATTTTCGGAAAGTCTTCTCCCTTCTGTGCTTCAAGCTTCCCTTCTACCCTTCTACCTCAAATCTACCAGTGAGCCATTGTTCCCAGCGATTCCAGCAGACATCCCGACGCTGAGTCTTCAGGAGTGATTCTGAGCCAAATCTATTTAGCTGAGGGAGACGAGAACATGAGTCAGCCTTACCTGAACCACTTAGTCACTGAAAGGGAGGAAAGAATTGTTCCCAAAGGAAAACCCAGTCCTACATACCAGGAGAGAGAATCTGGCTGGGCAGACAGAAGAGATCTCCAGGACTGTCTGTCCTTTGGCTTTTGAACAGCTGCATGTATTCATTCATTATTTATCACTGCATAATCATCCCATAACTTAGAGGCTTGAAGCCCCAGCATTTATTATCTCTGGGTTCCTGTGAGCCAGGAATCTAGGCATGGCTTAGCCAGCTTCTCTGACGCAGTCTCTCAAGGCTGTCATCAAAGTGTCTCCTATTAAGCCCACTCCAGGTGATTTGCTTTCAAGCTCATGGGCAGGATTCAGTCCACTAGTGACTTTAGGACCGAGGGCTTCGGTGTGGTGGGCTGTGGATAGGAGAGTTCCTGCAGCTGTGGGTGTGTGGCCTTTCCATGGGGTAGTAGACAACTGATAGCTTGGTTTATCAGAGCAAGTGAGAAGAGCCAGAGAAGCAACAAGGTCCAAGACTACGTTGTTTGTTTTTCTTTGTGATGGTCCTGGGGCTTGAACTCAGGGCCTGGGCACTTAGCTCTTTCACTCAAGGATGTTGCCAAGACTCAGTTTTGGCTTTTTTTTTTTTGTTAATTGGAGAGTTTCAGGAACTTTTCTGCCTAGGCTGGCTTTGAACTTCAGTCCTCAGATCTCAGCCTCCTGAGTAGTTAGGATTTATAGGTATAAGCCACTGGTTCCTGGTGTTGGCAATATTTTTTTTAACACTCTTCCAGTAAAGACAAGTAATGATTTCATGGGCTCCAAGTTTCTTTCGTTCTCTACTCCTTCCTCTCACCCTCTCTATTCTTATATTTCTTAAAGTTGTCTATGGCAATTTTTTTGTGGGGGGTAGGGGGGGCAGTCCTGGGGCTTGAACTCAGAGCCTGGGGACTGTCCCTGAGCTGCTTTTGCTCAAGGCTATCGCACTACCACTTGAGCCACAGCATCACCTCCAGCCTTTTCTCTGTGTATGGTACTGAGGAATCGAACCCAGGGCTTCATGCATACTAGGTAAGCACTCTACCACTAAACCACATTCCCAGCCCCTTTATGGTACTTTTTAATACTATAAGTTTTTCAATTTATAGCCCTCCACTTAAAATTTAATGTCATTTATTAAAATGCTTAAGCATACTGTTTTGTATCTTACATTTTTACTTTATAGCCCAGAGATGACTCTATAAATCTTCCATGTTCTGCTGCAGCTATATAGTATGAATATGAATGTACCATAGTGTATTCAAGTTCCTGGTAGACAGTTGGGCTGTTTTCAGTCTTTTGATAATGCTGGTAGTATGGTAGTAAGCTGGCTGTATATCTTATTTTGTAGTTTTGCTTGCCTGTCTTTGGGATAGGATTCTAGAGATGAGATTACTTGATCTTGAATATGCATACATGTGATTTTGTTATTGCTTGTCGTGGTGATAGGAGTTGGAGCACACATAGGAATAATAAATACTTGCTCTACCAAAGTACCTTACGTTAAACAGTTGTAAACTATAGACTGTTTTTCTGCCATAGATCTGGAGGCTACTCCTGGCCTCCAAGATCAAGGTACTAGCAAATTTGGTGTCTGAAGAAGACTTACTTTTCTAGCTCATAAAGATGGTGCTGTCTTGTGTCTGCACTAGAAAGTGATAACGCAGGTCTCTGCACCTCTATTTATAAGGGGAAGAACAAATCATTTCCCACAAGACCCCACAGTACATGAATTTGGGGTCAGGGACACAAGCAGTCAGACCACAGCCATCCTGCTAGATATGCAAGTATTCTCAAGAAGCACTTTTACGCTTTATTGTTCTATGTTTCTTTCCATGTTCTTTCCTTGTTCATTATGCTTTGTTATTTTTTTATAGCAAAATGATAACATTTTGAGAAGACTTTAAAGAAATAATTAACTTGCAGGCATAATTGCATTATAGATACAATTACATTGTTTTCTCTGTTTTTCACTTCTCACTGTGATAGAAGTGAAATGCCTCACACATTCTGAAATTGCTGGTATTAATCTGATTAAGATCTAGAAAGTTTAATTTGCCCAACATTTTCCTTATCTGTTGAAGTTTTTCAATAACTTCACAATATTTAACCAGTACTGCTGAATGGTAAAATTTTTATTAGAAACTTGATAAGAATTTTGACTATCATGGATAATATCTGTTTTTTATATATTATCTCTGTGCTTTTACCTGTAGAAATGCTTTCCCTAGCATATATAGCTGAGGTTCTTAGTTATGCAGGACTCTTTGTTGTTGTTACTGTTTTTTGTACTAATATTGATGCTTGAACTCAGGGCCTGGGCACTCTCTCTTAGCTTTTTCACTCAAGGCTGGTGCTTTGCCACTTAAGTTACAGCTCCACATCCAGATTTTTGGTGGATAATTGGAGATAGGAGTTTCATAGACTTCTCTGCCCAGGATGGCTATGAACTATAATCTTCAGATCAGTGGTGGCATGAGTTACCAGCTTGACTCTTGTTTTGTTTTTGTTTTCTTGTTTTTTAATTCAAATATTTCCTACTTCACTTTTGATTTTTAATACCTTTAAAAAAAAGAATTGAAGTTTTGAAGTAAAATCTAACTGAAAAGGGCTATTTTTACTCTTTTGGACAGTGTCTTTGCAACTTCCCATGCCACCCTCCATCTATCAGTCAGCTTTATCACTAAATATTCCAATGTATTGTCAGTTCATTGCTACATCATTCTGCCTGGCTTGCAGGTTATGAAATCCCTGTAGGGTTTTTTGGTGTTTTTTTTTTTTTTTTTTGGTAGGTCCTGGAGCTTGAATTTAGGACCTGGCTGCTGTCCCTATACTTCAAACCTAGCATTCTACCACTTAAGCCACAGTGGCAGTTCTGGTTTTTTCTTTGTAGTTTGCCCAGGCTGTCTTCGAACCACAATCCTCAGATCTCAGCCTCCTTAATAGCTAGAATTACAGGCGTGAGCCATCAGTGCCCAACTCTAAGAATGTTTTTTATTTGTATTTATACTTTTTTGATTTTTGAACCTAGTATAGCATCTTATACCTAGTTAAATTCTTATTTATATAATTAAGTAATCAAGTGTACATTGAGTTTCTATGCAAATTAAAATATTGCTCATGTGTCTAATTAGTCTTAACTTACCTAATTAACATGTAATTAAAATGTTAATGTTGTTTGTTGGCATTCCATTTTTCCTTGTTTAGGTTCGTAATGTTCTTAATGATGCTGTGGATTTGCTGGAGTTCCGTGACAGAGTTATTAAAGCCTCTCTGAACTACGCACACTTAGTTGTTTCAACGTCTCTTCAATGTTATGTGTTCTCGTAAGCATCTTACATTTCCTAAAAATGTACAATTTTGCCTGTAACTAGGAACTCATCACAGATTGACCTTTCAAGTTTGACATTACAGCTAGTTATGTACAATGAAAGTAGATCTAATAAAGTTTATATCCCAAAGGTATATAATAGGAATTACCTTACCTGATACAGTGTTTACTCTCAGTTGCAAGGAATTTCGTACAGTTTTATTTAGAGACTCAAAGATTAGGAGCAGCTTATGAGGACTGAGTAATGGAACCATTAGGAGAATTTAGTGCTTGGGAGAATCTAGTGCTTAAAACATCAGTTCTGCTGGGTACCAGTGGCTCATGCCCACAATTGTAGCTACTTAGGAGGCTGCGATCTGAGGATTGCGGTTAGAAGCCAGAAAAATGTGAGAGACTGATCTCTAATTAGCCTCCAAAAAGCTGGAAGTGAGGATGTGGCTTAAGTGGTGGAGTGTCAGCCTTGAGCAAAAAAGCTAAGTGAGGGGCCAGGCCCTGAGGTTAAGCCCAGGACTGGAACATACAACAGATCAGTAATCCTCAGCACCTCAGCCTCATGAGCCACTGTGATTATTAAAGGTATGTGTCACTGTCACCAGTTAAATTATTTTACTTCCTTTTTTTGCTGGTTGTGGGGCCTGAACTCTGGGCCTGAGTGCTGTCCCTTTGCTCTTCAGCTCAAGGCTAGCACTCTACCACTTGAGCCACAGCTCCACTTCCAGCTTTTTCTGCGTATGTGGTGCTGAGGAATCGAACCCAGGGCATGGGAGGCAAGCACTCTACCACTGAGCCACCTCCCAGCCCATTATTATTTACTTCTTTACTAGGAATGACTGGGATTTGAATCTAAGTTCATACTGTTGACTACATTTTAGTAATAACATATAATTATTAAAATAAACCTATAGGTAATATGCTGATTTCTATTAGAAGAAATTCCAGAAGAAGAAAAGCAGTGCATGAGAAAACTATATTAAAATGTTCACTTTTTTTTTCAAGTAATTGCATTGAAAATACTCTTTCTTGTTTTATTCAGCTTATATCTTAGGAAGTTTATATTTCCACAGCAATATATTTCAGTTGTCAGGAGTCTGGACATTTTCTAAAAGTTCATCCAAAAAGCCTCATATAATCACTACCTTTCTAATCAGCTCTCTTGCCAATGAATGCAGGTTAATTTTAATGACTAATTTAGCATGCTGCGATTTTTTTTTCCTGAAGTGCAAAAGCATATTATCTTTATCATACCTGTGAAGTTCAGTCTAATTACTGTACTATTACTAGAGCTAATTGCTATTAGAATTACCTTATTAGTAGAAATTTATTTGTTGTTTTATCCTTTGATGTATCATGTACTGACATGGTCTACATTAACCAAGATTAATTGCTCACCAGTGTGACGGCTCACTGAAGTCTTCTTCCCATCTTCTGGATTCAAAATGGGTTCGTTCCAATCTCATTCAAAGAATTGACTTTTATATAGCTAGGTGCTAGTGGCTCAATGCCTAGCTACTCAGGAGCTGAAATCTGAGGGTTGCAGTTCAAAGTCAAGAGAGTCTGTGAGACTCTTAACTCTAATTAACCACTAAAAAGCCAGAAGTGGAGCTATGATATAGCCTTGAGTGAATCAGCTAAGGGACAGTGCCCAGACTCTCAGTTCAAGCCCTAGTACTGGCAGGTGCGTGCACATGTGTGTGCACACATATACACACACAGTTTTTTAAATGAAAAGTATTGAGAAAAATTCAAAGCATACATGAGTCATAAACTATTTGGAACTGTGAGACAACTTCGAGACTTTATGGATGGATGGATTTCTTCACTTGTAGATGTTCTCTTCACCCACTCCAGTATTGAAATCATTTTATACTAGAAAAGGAAAAGGAATCATTTCTTCATTTCTTCATCAATGGATCTATTTGTAAGCTTAGTCACAGCTTATATTTATGGTGTTTTACAGCTGACGCAAGCCCCTCACATCTCCCCCCAAGAAGTCTTGTCAGACAGTAGCCTTGGAACTGGAGAAAATCATCATGCTCTTGTTGTTTGTTCTGTACCTGCTGTGTATCAGGCAGGTATTCAGATGCTTGATAGCACTCTACAGATGAAATAAAACCTCTGGTGTTCCAGAGAGTATGCTTGTGAAAAATGGGCAGCCAGGAAACTTTTTTGTTTGTTTGTTTGTTTTTGTTTTTGGTCGGTCGTGGGGCCTGAACTCTGGGCCGGGGTGCTGTCCCTCAGCTCTTCAGCTCAAGGCTAGTGCTCTACCACTTGAGCCACAGCGCCACTTCTGGCTTTTTTTCTTTTTACTTATGTGGTGCTGGGGAATCGAACCCAGGGCCTCATGCATACAAGGCAAGCGCTTTACCACTGAGCCACCTTCCCAGCCCCTGGTGAAACTTTTTAGTCTAGACCTGGGTATCTGAATCCTATATCATGCTGCTGCTGTTTTCGGTTTTCAGATAGTAAACATTAGGTAACTTCCCAGACTCACTGAACTAATAAACAGCAGAAAGGAGACTTGTTCTTAGTATTTCTAAGTTCAGATATTATAATACCTACAATACACATTTCCTGAATGTTTGCTATGGCTACTTGCATACTACAATGTAGTCTTTGCTCTGTACTTGGGGTGTAGACATGAGTGAATAATCTTAGAGCAAAGTAGCAGGTGCTGAATAGAAGTGTGCATGCAATAATCATGAAAATAAAGTTACTTTATTAAAAATAAATGCCTGTCTACTTATTAAAAAGTATTTAATATTTTAAATGTTAATGTCCATTTGTTTTTTAGTACAAAGAACTGGAATACACCACTCATATTTGATCTCAAAGAAGGAACCGTCAGTTTAATTCTGCAGGCAGAGAGGTAATTTGCTTATTACACTTTTTCATCATTGGGCTTAGGTTAAGATACAGAAGTAAAACATTCTTTAAAACACCTATCTTAGTCAGGTGCCAGTGGCTCACACCTATTCAGGAGGCTGAGATCTGAGGATCCCAGTTCAAAGCCAGCCCAAGCAGAAAAGTCCACGAGACTCATCTCAGCTAACCACCAGAAAACCGGAAGTGCCACTGTGGCTCAGAGTGGTAGAGTGCTAGCCTTGAGCGGAAAAAGAAAAAAACTCAGGGACAGTGTCCAGGCCCTGAGTTCAAGCCCTCAGCCAACAAAATAAACAATACCTACTTCATTTATAGAATTAAACAATAACTGTTTGAGAATTGAAAACACGGCTGGGAAGGTGGCTCAGTGGTAGAGTGCTTGCTTTGCATGCATGAGGCCCTGGGTTCTATTTCTCAGCACCACAAAAACAGAAAAATTTGGGAGTAATGTTCAAGTGGTAGCCTTGAGCAGAAGAGCTGAGGGACAGTGCCCAGGCCCAGAGTTCAGGCCCCACAACCAACCAAAAAAACAAAACAAAAGAATAGAAAACACAATAGATAAGTTTATCAATGATTCTAACACAATAGATAAGTTTATCAATGATTCTGGCATTATATACATATATATATATATATATATATATATATATACACACACACACACATCCATATATACACGTGGATATACATATTTACCTATCTGGTTATGTACACAAATTCATACACACACACATATATGTATATTATCCATACTTTGTAGGTTTTTTTCTTTTTTGTGATACTGTGGTTGAACTCACAAATCCATACTTGGTTTGCTGTAGTTCTCTATGTGGAGGAGGGTCACAAAAGGTCTTTTGTTTACTCTGTGCTGTTTGAATTTTTAAATAATATTTTTATATTTTCAAAGGAAAAGTATACCTGTCATACAATGTTTGTGTGACTATCTCCATAATAAAAAACAGAAAACAAACCAAAACAGAGGTTGACTTTCAGTTTTTAAATATTCTATTCTTTATGTATTTATGTACTTATTTTAATTGTAAGACTTAGATATTTTCAAGAGATAAGCTATTTTATAATATAAAAATAAAAATATAGTGTCTTCCTGTTATTTATCCTTTATCTTTTAGGCATTTTCTTCTTGTTGATGGTGGTGGTATCTATTTATATTCTTATGAAGGACGCTTCATTTCCTCTCCCAAGTTTCCTGGGATGAGAACCGACATTCTGAATGCCCAGACTGTTTCTCTGAGTAATGATACCATAGCAATAAAAGACAAAGCTGATGAGAAAAGTAAGTTTATATTCAGAATTTCTCATGCTAGATTTCTGTTACATTTGTTAATGCTACATTAACTTTCATTTTCTCATATGCTAATATTTTAACTTTGTATAGAAGAGTAACTTTCTGATTTGTTCTAAACATGAATTAAATAAGAGTTACTGTATCCAACACAACAATACTATCAGCACTCAAGATTAGTTGTAACAATTAAATGATGCTATATTCAGTAGCTGGAGAAAATGTTTTAAATCAGTTGTGATCCTAAAAAATATTGATTTGTAAATACTTAAAAATAGTCACATTTTCTTCATTTAATAAGAGTATCTTCATTATGCCGGCTATTTTATGTATTTTTTAAATTACTGTTTTAAGTGGATGAAGCTGAAGAAAAATATGAATAACTTAAATTTTGTTTAAACAGCTCAGTCACATCAGTAGTTACAAATAAGTATAAGTAAGCTAAATGTTTTGGAATTCCCTAATACAGTAAAGTCATTTTATCAGGGTGTTGGTAAGTCCCTGATTCAGTTGTCCAGCAGGTGTTACTGAATGTTTACTATGTGTCAGATACTTTCCTGGAAGTTGATGAATAAGGCAGACATTCTAGTAAGCAAAACTAAGGAATTGAGCCAATATGTAGGTAGTGTACCAGTTTCTGTACATGTGAAGGCTAAAATACAGGTCCAGCCTTTGTTAGATCAGATCTTCATACATTTCTGGGCAAAAGTAGATGAATTCATTCACATAGGCCCACCTCTTTATAATTCATACAGTCAGCATAAAAAAGATAAGGTGTGGATTTTTTTGTTGTTGTTGTCAGTCCTGGGCCTGGACTTTGTCCCTGAGCTTTTGCTCAAGGCTAGCACTCTTACCACTTGAGCCACAGTGCCACTTCTGGTTTTTTCTGCTTATGTGGTACTAAGGAATCGAACCCAGGGACCCATGCATGCAAGGCAAGCACTCTACTACTGAGCCACCTTCCCAGCCCCTGGATTTTTATTTTTTAAAGCTATTAATTTCAAAACTGTATAATGATGAAAATGGTCAACTGTAGGCAGCCTAGAATATTTTAAAAACGGAAACCAAACTTTTCTAAATTTTGTTTCTGTACATTAAGAAAAAGCTGCTGTAGTGTTTTTTTATTTTTCTCTGCATATTTGGTAATCTTAGAACATAAGTAACTGTTATAGCATGATCTGTCCTATGAATATAGTCAGTGACTTTAGACATAACAGCTAATACATTTCAGTTAAATTTCCTATTACCAGTATGTTTGCGTCTTTGTGCTATGTGTTGTGTGGTCCATGTTTTTACTGTTCCTAGTACCCTTTTTGTCCTCATTGTTTTGTAATTCTGTCTTTGTCTTTATATAAATGTGTCACTTGGTATGACTCTTGAGCTTGACAAATTTGGAAAGTACTTAATCACCAAAATACTCCAATGGTTTTCATTTTTTCCCAATAATCTTTATTTTTTCCCCAGTTTTTTATTTTTTATTGTTATTTTACTATACAGAGGGGTTACAGTTACATAAGTCAGGTAATGAGTACATTTCTTTTTGAACAATGTCACCCTTTTCCTCACTCCCAGTTTTTTTCTTTTGGCCTCACCCACAACATAGTGTCTAGTGAGTACCACTGTTGGATTTGTTCATCTTTTGTCCTTCCATTTCTGTGCCCCCCTTACTTCCCAAAGACAGATAAATGAACAAACAAGGTGAAAAGAAAAACAATGAAAAAAATCCTTTTGTTTTCCATTTCCTGGAGTTCATTTCAATAAATATTATTAAATGTGATCAGAGGCACATAAGCATTGTGCCTTTGTGTTCCTCCCCTAGGAGTGTCCTCATTTGGTCTCACTGTGTGTGAATGCCTAGAGCCCTATATAATTTATCCTGTTTTGATGTAAATTAGAAACTAGCTTCCACACATGAAAGAAAAAATGTGCCGTTTGTCTCTCTGAGTTTGGCTTACCTCACTTAACATGATTCGTTCTAGGCCCATCCATTTCCCTGCCTCTTCTTTGAAGAAGAGAAAATAATAGGTACCAGTGCCCCTGTCATGTCAGAGCTAAGGAATTACCTTGACAACATGGAAAAAGGGCTGAGGGACAGCACTGGACCAGGTTCCTCCAGTGCTGTCACTTTGTCATTTTCACTTCACTGAGTAGAAGATAAGGAATGGACATGGAGAACTTGGAGCTGATCATCTGATATTCTGGAACATCAAGTAGAATGTTCTATACTAAGATCATCAGTGTGAAACAACATAGTAATGATCTGTGGAGAAAAATGGTTATTGGTAATCATTTTCTCACAATCTAGGCATACTTCAACTCAGTTTTGACATAGCCTACTGAGAATTAGTATAACCCCAAAGGTTAAGGCCTACTGCCCTTACTTCCAGCCAGCCACCTCTTTTTATTTTTTGGTTGTGGGGCTTGAACTCTTGGCCTGGGCACTGTCCCTGAGCTCTTCAGCTCATGGCAAGCACTCTACCACTTGAGCCATTAGCGCCACTTCCTGTTTTCTGGTGGTTAATTGGAGATAAGAGTCTCAGAGACTTTGTTGCTGGGGCTGGCTTTGAACTACGATCCTCAGATCTCAGCCTCCTGAGTAGCTAGGATGACAGGTGTGAGCTACCGGCACCACCTCTTTTTTGAGTGACTGTGAATTCAGGGTTCCTGTGCCCCACTTAACTTTGTAATTTGGTAAAATGACTGACAGAGCCCAAGAGACTATTCTTGTCATTTCCGCTCTGTTATACAAAGTGTCCGCATGCCATGAGGTCTAGGAAGGAACACAGATAGCTTCCATGGCATCTTCACTCTCCAGTACCTCAGTGTGCACCAAACAGGAAGCTTCTCAGAGCTTTGGCATCCAAAGATTTTCATGGTATCATATTACCTCCAATGATTGATTAAATCTCTGGCCACACAAGTGAATTTAATCTCTGGCCCTCTTCCCATCTCCAGAGGTGAGAGAACTCCGAGCTCCAACCCTCACCACATGCTTAGTCTTATTGGTGGTGAGTCCCTCTTCTGGAGCTAGGGAGGCACTCTACAAGAGTCCACCGTTTTCATTAGCACCGTGACTTCCAGCCAGGAAGACAGGACAGTAGATAGACATAAAACAGAACATATGCATGCCTGGCATCATGAGTTCCATGGTAAGGAGTGCAATTGTGATTTTATACTGGTCCGAATCGGTAGTGGCAGAATTAAAAGTCACATCTACATTTGGACTTGTCATGGTTGAATCAGTGGCTCATTGATGCCTTTACATGAACAGTTTTAATTAGGAATATGTCTTAGGAAGAAACATTTAGTTCTCAAGTTTTCCTAAGAAATAATTAGGAATAGGTTTTAGGAAGGAACGTTTAGTTTCCCAGTTTTCCTAAGAAATGTGACCCCCCCATTAATAAATAAGAATTTGGTTCTATTGGTTGTTTTTTTGTTTTTTTTTTTTTTTTGCTGTGCTGTGGCACAGAGTTCAATAATTTCTAAGTATTTTGCTAGTTCTACTGAAATGTACCAGTAAAGAGTCTAATATAGCACATTAATGTTCTGCTTTTTTTTCCCCCCCAAGTCATCTTTCTCTTTGAGGCGTCCACTGGCAAACCCCTGGGGGATGGGAAGAGTCTTTCTCATAAGGTAATGGAATGAACTATTTCTAATGCAGATAACAACGGTGATTACTGCTCTATGAAGATTAATAGTCATATTTTAATGAGGAAAATGGAATTTAGTCTTATATTTTGAACCAGAGTACCTTCTACACAGATTATTTTGCCTAAAAAAATCACAGTTTAAAACAAAGAATAGGGAAAGTCTATAATAGAAAGCGTGTATGCAAATTAATTGAATAAAAGGAATTGACTTGTATGTCTATGGTTCAGGCTCTGCTTTTCAATATTATGATTATGGTTTGTTTATTTTTTGTCAGTCATGGGGGTTTGAACTCTGGGCCTAAGCCCTATCCCTCAGTTTTTCAGCTCAAGGATAGTACTCTACCACTTGAGCCACAGTGCCACTTCTGGTTTTCTGGTGGTTAATCGGAGGTAAGAGTCTCATGGAATTTCCTGCCTGGGCTGACTTTGAACTGACTTTGACTGAGATCCTCAGTTCTCAGCCTCCTGAGTAGGTAGGATTACAGGCGTGAGCCACTGGTGTCCGGCATCCCTTTTGTACTTTTAAAATTGAATATTGAGTATACTCATGTAGTTTTGATTCAGATAGAAGTCAAAACCATTATAAAGTATACAAGGAAGTCAACCATAGTGGCTCACCCTTGTAGTCCCAGCAACTCAGGTGGTAGAGACTGGGAGGATTGTGGTTGGAGGTTAGGCTGGGTGTGGTGTCTTCCTACCTGTTATCTCCCTTCCCATGACGCTTAGGTTGGAGGATTTTGGCTCAAAGCTGGCTGAGGCAAAAAGCGTGAAACTCTGTCTGAAAAAGCTGAAAGGGCTGGAGTGTTAAGGTCCTTGAGTACTTCAAGAACTGCCAAAAAAAATGTGTGAAAAGACCCCTACGAAATGGGGAGGCACTGCTGCTAACCTCTTATATATTTCCCCAGACCCTCAGATCTTAGCCTCCTGATTAGCTAGGATTACAGACATGAGCCACCAGTGCCCAACATATGACTGTAATTCTTAATTGCAGAGATCATCTTCTTGGAAAGGTTTCTATTTTTAAAACATCTAACTTAGTATTCTATGAGTACCTTGATAGATTGAAACAAGACAAAAGTCTTTTCTATCTTAGAGTATAAATTATAGTAGGCCAAGCTCAGAGAGACAATTGGCACATGTTTTCTCTCATGTGGAAGCTAGATCTAAAATACACTGGGACATGATATATTTTACAGGACTCTAGACATCCACACACAGTGAGACCAAAGGAGGATGCTCCTAGGAGAGGAACACAGAGGCGCAATGCCTATGTGCCTCTCATCATATGAACACTAGGAAATTTGAAACGAAGTTTTTTCCTTTGTTGCTGTTTCCATTTTCTTTTCTTTTTGTCTCAGTTTTCCATTTATATGTCTTTAGGAGGATAAAGGGAGGCATAGAGAACAAGACCTTATGAAGTTCTGAATGAATCATATAACTTGTGCCTGGGGATGGTAGGGAAAAACTGGAAGAGTACAAGGGAAGGGTTGACATAGTCCACAAAGAAATGTACTCATTACCTGACTTACGTAACTGTAACTCCTCTGTATATCATCTTTATAATAACAAAAACTTTAAAAAAAGAATATAAACTATAGCATTCCAGAGAAGAGCTTAATTTTTTTAATGTATTTTGAACTGGAATGTGACTGATCCATCAATTTGGATAATGTGTGTTTTGTCTTAAAAGGGGTTGTTTATAGTACACTTAGAAACAGTACACTAATTACTATTATACATATAGTATAGTCATATGGTATAGTATGGTATGGTATAGTCATGGTTCTTGTTCCTAGCAGTCTTTATATATAATATACAGTAAATTGGCCCCTCTTGGATTGAACTGAAATGACTATCTTGGAACATTTCCAACTTTTAAGAAAATCCATCTTACTAGGTAGTATTAGATTAATGAAATATGCCAGAACTACTGTTTTTCTATGGAACAGCAGAGATCTTGGAGTCAGAAGTCTGAGTTAGAAATCTTAGACATGCTTGGGACCAGCCTGCTCTGAAGAAAAATCATTTAATAGCATTGGATTGCAATTGCAAGTAAATATTAAATAATAGCCATATCGGGTTTCCTGCTTCACAGGAAATGATATGAAAGACTCTGCAAATGTTAACCTGGGAGAAATATGAGTTATTCCTATGTGTGTTCAAAATTCATTCTGACAAATCTTTAAAATATAGGAATCATAAAATTTTAGTATGAGAAACTTGGTACTCAAAACAGACCATTCATGTGATAATCAGACGCTCCTTCACCATCAAGACAGGACAGAAGGGCAGTTTACATAGGGTCACACTGTAGATTATTTTCTTGTAGTGTGAGAATATCTTTCCCTTGATTTTCTGACAAAGTAATGACAATTAACTTTTGAATTATTAGTATATTGGCAGTCCAAAATCAACAGGAACATTTTATAATTCTAAGCAGATGAATGACATTTAATAGATTCTTTTGTGTTTGTTTATTTTAAATGTTTTGAGAGAGTATTGCTCTGTTACCCACACTGATCTAGAACTCATGATCCTCCTGCCTCAGCCTCCTGAATACTGGGATTGTAGGTTTGTGCTACCATGCCAGACTTAATTGATCTTTAAGGACAGGAATGCCATTTAAAAAAAATTACTTAAACGATCTTACCTCAGACACTAGAATTGATCTGACATTTACTGTTGTTATTTTTTTAATTTTAGAATGAAATCTTGGAAATTGCTCTGGATCAAAAAGGACTTACCAATGATAGAAAAGTTGCTTTCATTGATAAAAATAGGGATCTCTATATTACTTCAGTGAAACGATTTGGGAAGGAAGAACAAATTATCAAACTTGGTAAAATAATTCTAGTGCATTTAAAATTTTAATTGTTAATGTAAAAATCTATTTTATATACTAAATATTTAATGCTTGGATGACTCTGTGGTAATATTTTCTCACATTTCTTATCTATTTAACTCGATTTTAAAAGGAAGTTTTTGGCTTCTGCAGCTAAGTTGGCATTGAAAGTAAAATCTGTGAATTAAAAATGTAGTGTTCTAAGTAGAACCTTCAAGTAGTTTCATAAACGTTATGTGAATTTTTACATTTTTACCATTATGCTATCAGAAAGTAGAGATGTACCTACTTACCACAAATGAGATGGGATCTTGTTTTCTCAGTTAATTTTAAAGATACAATTTTTTTACTTATATGTTGGCACTAACAAAATACATCTATTCTTTTGAAATTAAGGAACAATGGTACACACATTGGCATGGTGTGACTCATGCAATATCCTGTGTGGCCTTCAGGATACTCGGTTCACAGTGTGGTACTATCCCAACACTGTGTATGTGGACAGAGACATTTTGCCTAAAACGTTATATGAGAAGGATGCAAGGTAAGATCTTCTGCATGGATTCTGCGTGGTTTAAAGAGAACTCCTTTCAGTCATGCTTTTGCATCTAAACAAATCATTTATGTAAAGCTAGCTTAGTGAGATTTTATCGATGAAATCAAGTTGAAAATGTAGTCTGAAGTGTTTATCTCTCATGTGACTATGAAGTATTTCTCATGCTGGTGTTGTTTAATGGAAGCTCAGGACGTTTGCTCAGTATGATTGATTTTAAAGTAGGCAACTCTTACAATTTTTCAATAATATACAAATTTGTGACAGCATCCCAGCATGCAGACAATCATTGACTTTAAGACATTCTGAATGTATTTGTCTCTTAAGTTGAATTTTTAGGTTGAGACTAAAGACAGAAAAAATTGAAAATTACTGAAAGCATTTAAAAAAGTACTTATGTGGACAAAGGGTGAATGAATGCAGCAGTGGTACTCACTAGACACTATGTTGAAAATCAACTATGCAACTTGTAGGTGGTCATGGGAGGGGAAAACTGGAAGAGAGCAAGGGGAGCAGGGGACTTTGTCCAGAAAGGAATGCACTCATTGCCTGACCTATGTAACTGTAACCCCTCTGTATTTATAATAACAGTAAAATAAAAAAATTGTAAAATTTATGTGCTTCAGAAAGTGAAGTACATTTATATTCCTAAGTTTTCTAAGAGATAGATCTCTTACTCTTCACAAAGGACTACAAAGGCTTCTTGACTCTAAATCTTAGTGTGGTTTCCAAGTATGTTTAGAGTTTATTTTTAATACTCATGTTTACAACCTTGGCAAAACTAGAAAGGGCTTCAAAACAAAACTTATTTTTTAAAAGTATTTAACTCACTGAAAGGAACTTAGTCTTATTAAAGTCCACTTTTTATTATGACAGAATTATCTTGGAGTTAAGCATAATTTTTATCAGTATGCCTTTTAATATGGTTAAAAACAAGCCAAGTGATTTCATCATTTACATGATTTATCTTAATCAGGAAAAAGATGCATTTGTCAGCCTTCTGTTACCATCACACATTCCTGAGACAGTCAGGTTGTAGAGAGGAGACTACTTAAGGTCTGAGCTTTCAGTCAGAGGTGAAGCTATATTTTTAAGGCTAGGAAGTGAGAGAGGAGGCCTGGGGTTGTGCCCTTCATTTCAGCAACCTTGAGGTCATCCCAGTAACACAAGTCTTTACCACGTAGGCCTTAGAGACCCTGAAGCTCCAAAATGCGGGTGGCTCATACCTGTAATCCTAGCTACTCAGTTGAGATCTGAAGGTCATAGTTCAAAGCCAGCATGGGCAGGAAAGTTTGTGAAACTCCAATTAACCATCAAAAAGCTGTGGCTCAAGTGGGTAGAATGCTAGCCTTGAGGAAAAAAGTTCAGAAACAGTACATAGGCTCTGAGTTCAATCCCTTATAACCCATACAAAAATATTTCTTTGCTCAGAGTATCTTGCCCCTCCTCCTTTCTCAACAGTGAATATAGTAAAAACCCTCATATTGTGAGTTTTGTGGGGAATCAGGTAACTATCAGAAGAGCAGATGGGTCTCTGGTCCACATCAGCATATCTCCGTATCCTGCTATTCTTCAGGAATATGTGAGCAGTTCCAAGTGGGAGGATGCTGTAAGACTTTGTCGATTTGTTAAGGTACTCTCCATTTCTGATCCACATTCGTATATGTATTGTGCATTAGCTTACCTTTTGGCAAAACATGTAATAATAGTTATGAATAGTTATGAGTGAGACCATGTTTGTTTGTTTTTGCCAGTCTTGGGGCTTGAACTCAGGGCCTGGGCCCTGTGCTGTCCCTGAGCTTTTGCTCAAGGCTACCACTCTACCACTTGAGCCACAGTGCTACTTCTGGTCTTTTCTGTTCATGTGGTACTGAGGAATCGAACCCAGGGCTTCATGCATGCTAGGCAAGCACTCTGCTACTAAGCCACATTCCCATCCTAGAGATCATGTGTTTTTATAAATGAATACATGGTTGGTATGAAGAGGTGTTGCCATGTGGTTGATTTTCAGAGAGGCTATAATTAGGCACTGGTATATGTATCAGTCTTCTGTGGAACATTTTCTGAGAGTCAGATTCCTAAGTTGTATTCCCACAGAGAGTCTGACTCACTGCACCTCTTTTTGATTGAGGCATGCACATCTTTTTAAGCTCCTCAGATCATTCTTTTGTATACCTAAAGTTAAAAGTCTGTGCTTTAAGCTGCGAATAATGGCATATGCCTATAATCTTAGCATTTGAAAGGCTGTGCATGAGGATCTATAGCCTCGGGATATATAGCATGAGACCCTATCTCAACAAAAGGGGAAATATGCATATGTGTATGTGTGTGTGTGTTTGTGTGTGTGTATTCTGCTTTGATCAGCATTTCCTAACTAGTTGGTTGAATCTAGTATATTCCAAAATGTGTCTGACCATAGATCTCCTTTATTGAATCAGTTACCATCCATTAGAATACACTCCTGAAATGTCATTTAGATGCTTTACCTTATCAGGGCTTATTGGTGGCCATCTTCATGGCAGTATCATATGAGAGCACACTACAAAGTGGCCACAATAAAATTTTTTCCTCTCACTAATTTTTATTTATTTATTTTTTGGGTCCGGTCATGGGGCCTGAACTCTGGGCCTGGGCATTGTCCCTCAGCTCTTCAGCTCAAGGCTAGAGCTCTACCACTTGAGCCACAATGCCACTTCCGGCTTTTTTCTTTTTGCTTATGTGGTGCTGAGGAATCGAACCCAGGGCCTCAGGCATGCAAGGCAAGCACTCTACCACTGAGCCACCTTCCCAGCCCCCTCACACTAATTTTTTAAGGTTAGTTTTCAATGCTATGTTTCAAAATTGTGTGTGTGAGTGAGCACACATTCACACCAGTACTGGGACTTGAGCTCAGGGCCACATAATTTCACTCAGTTTTTGCATTTGTCTGCCTGAGATGGCTTTGAACCTCAATACTCAGGTCTCAGCCTCCTGCGTAGCTAGGATTATAGACAGGAGCCACCACTACCTGGCTTCACTTGATAACTTATTACTTAAATTATTTAATAGTTTTACCCTGAGTATTCTGATGTGGGCCTCATGGTTAAGCGTGTACTCTTGGCTTCACTTAGGAGCAAACCATGTGGGCGTGTCTGGCTGCCATGGCACTTGCCAACCGAGACATGACCACTGCAGAAATTGCCTACGCAGCAATCGGCGAGGTGAGTCATATGCACACATAAATGCGTGTGCGCACGTTTCTCACAAGTTGTTCTGTTGCATTTCTGTTTTTATTCACATGGAATGTACTACTTTTTCTTTTCTAGATTGATAAGGTTCAGTACATCAACTCTATAAAAGATCTTCCATCCAAAGAATCAAAAATGGCACATATACTAATGTTTAGTGGGAACATACAGGAAGCTGAAATAGTACTTCTTCAGGCTGGCCTTGTTTATCAAGCAATCCAGATCAATATTAATCTCTACAACTGGGAAAGGTAATAAAAATGCTTTTCAGTGATTCCAAAGCCTGTTTGACCTTATGTATTCTTCCGTCTATCACTTAGTAAATTACACTTTCCTGCTCTGCCTAACACTACAGAAGAGTTTTTTTGTGTTTATATTTATGAGAGGTTTGCCTGCAGGATTTTAACATTTTCAAGCCTAGAAAATTATCTATTTAATCAATATTAATTATGATATTTGGCTTTTTGAGCTTTGCTTACCTTGTTCAACCTATTGATCACATCACCAGCTCCATCCACTTCCTGTGCATTACATGATTTAATTTTTTTATAGTCGTGTAATATTCTATAGTATATAAGTAGTTAACAGTTTCTTTTTTAAGTTGGTTCCACAGTTTGCTATTTTGAATAGAACTGGTTTAATTAACATGGGTATGCAAGGGTCTTTCTTGTATATTGACTTAGATTACTTCAGATATATGTCCAGGAGTGGTATAATGAAGTCATAAGATAAGTCTGTTTTTATTGTTTTATGAGCCTCCATACTGATTTCCATAGTGTGTGCACACTCCAATGATGCATGAGGGTTCCTTCCCCACCCCCAAATCCTTACCACTATTTATTGTTGTTGGTTTTATTGATGTTCTTACTGTTGTAAGTTGGAATCTTAGTGTAGTTTTGATTTACTAAAAATATTGAACCTTTCTTCTCATATCTATTAGTCATTTCCCTACCATCCATCCCTTTTTTATCTTTGCAGATATCTGTCCTCTTTTCCCTTTCAGATCATATACTTCTAGAAGGACATTTTATATATACAGAGTAGCTATTTAATATTCATATTCTTCATGTCAGTTAAATACTCTGTGAGCTGCATTACAAACATAGATGGACATGCTATATTTCTCCACATGTCAGGAATTATTGAACAACAACAAATTCATAAGCTATGTCAGTTTTACTTGGCAAGGCCTCATTGAACCCTATAGTTACTGCTCTAATCTTTTTTTAGACATTCTGTAAGCTTTTTATTACTGAGAATGGTACTGTGTGATCTGAGGTTAATATTAGTAGATAAGATTGGAATAAAGGAACCTGTGTTAGGAGCTGGGAAGGTGGCTCAGTGGTAGAGTGCTTGCCTTGCATGCATGAGGCCCTGGGTTTGATTCCTCAGCACCACATAAGCAGAAGAAAAAAAAAAAAAGGAACCTGTGTTATCAGTGGCCAGGGCTATCAGATGGCCTCAGTGAGGGGTGACAGTGAACAAGACACATGTACTCATAAATTGACATGTTAAAAAAATAGTGGGCTGGGAATGTGGCTTAGTGGTAGAGTGCTTGCCTAGTATGCATGAAGCCCTGGGTTCTCTTCCTCAGTACCACATAAACAGAAAAGTTCAGAAGTGGAGCTGTAGGCCAAGTGGTAGAGTGCTAGCCTTGAGAAAAAGGAGCTCAGGGACAGTGCCCAGGCCAAACTAGTGAGGATAATGATGCCCTGGGTATACCTAAGATTCACCAGAAGGACGTAAAGAAGGAAGAGAAAGAAAAAGTGACAAAATGTTTCAACTAATCACATGTGGGGTCCTTTTTAGGTCTTGATTCAAACAAACAATAAAACATTCAAGATAGAGAAATAGGGTGCTGAATATAATACGGTAGGCAGTGAAGTATTTACAGATGAAAAGACATGATGACTGAAGTCTGATTTAAGGGAAATGGTAGGGGAGGGGGGTGCGGAGAGGGAGAGCAACGACTCACCAGCTGATTGTTGAAGCTGACTGACCGTGTATGTGAGGATTCACTACATGACTCTACTCCCTTGTAGATGATCCTTCTGAAGCCAGACCCTTAGATGTTGGTGTTCTTATTTTTTTTTTTTGGTCAGTCATGGGGCTTGAACTCTGAGCCTGGGTGCTGTCCCTCAGCTCTTCAGCTCAAGGTTAGTGCTCTACCACTTGAGCCACAGCGTCACTTCCAGTTTTCTGGTGGTTTATTAGAGATAAAAGTCTCACAGATTTTGCTGCCTGGGCTGGCTTTGAACCACAATCCTCAGATCTCAGTCTCCTGAGTTGCTGGGATTACAGGCGTGAACCACCAGTGCCCAGTGATGTTGGTGTTCTGTAGCATATACCTGCTGCCCTCTTTTCTCTTGCTTCTGTACATCTTCATGGTGAATCTTAGCTATGCTCTGGGATCATTATTCTCACTAGTTCTTCTCTAGTGGCTCTACCAAACTTTATAGCCATTAACCAAGGTTCCACAGGCACTGAGTTCTGGACTTTGTCCCAAGGACTTCAGCTCCAGACTTAGCCACAAGTTGAAGCTTGCATCTAGCTACTTGATAGGCTTAGGATTTAATTTGCTGGGTTTTGTTCATCTGTTTGAGAAGCATAGTCTTACTGGTTTGTGCCTCTGTCCTTCATATTTAAAATTTGAAAATTACCTGAAACCTAGTAAGATGTAGCACCTAAGGAGTCAGAGTAAGCAAGTTTTCTGCTGGCTGTCTACTTGGCACATTTCAAGGTAATGTTCTCTTGAAACGGGAGATAAGAGAGGTAGAAATTAGAAGCTCTAAGTAACTGCATTGATCTTTTACTTAAGTATTAACAAAAATAAATGTCTTACCTTATACCAGTTATATATATATATATATATATATATATATATATATATACACACACACACACACATATATGCCAGTTTAGTCATTCAAGCTATGTAAAAGCTCATACTCTGAAGTTATATCATCTTCTTTTTTTCCTTTTTCTGATCCTGGAGCTTGAACTCTAGGCCTGTGTGCTGTCCCTGAGCTTCTTTTGCTTGAGGCTAGTACTCTACCACTTGAGCCACAGAACCACTTCTGGCTTTTTCTGAGTGGTTTATTGGAGATAAGAGTCTCACAGACTTTCCTGCCTGGGCTAGCTTCGAACTGTGATCCTCAGATCTCAACCTCCCGAGGTTTAGATTATAGGCATCAGCCACTGGCGCCTGGCTAACATCTTTTTTTTTTTTTAATATATAACTTCTATTTAAATATATGGATCCATTCCAGCCTAGAATCTAATGTCACATTTGTTTGGTTGCCAGATAACTATTTTAAAACTAGAAACACATGTCTCCCAAAACCCTTATGTAATTTAGAGTAAGTTCCCTCTAAATGTGGTAAAGAACTGCTTTTTTTTTTAACTCAGTCTATGCTTTAAGAGAACACTTAAAATAGCACCTATCATTTAAATGTTTGCCTTTAGCCATTGTTCTTCAAATAATACATATTTTATTATTACAGTAACAGCAGTGATAATAGATAATACTTAGTAATTGAGCTTCTAAATACAGATTAGACATCATATTCTGGTCTTTCTGCATAATGAAGTATATTGATGTTCTAGAACAACTTATCTCTTTGGAGTTTTTGAAAAGCCCCCAGCACAGAGAGTTGGCTGATGTGCCCTCTTTCAGTACACTTGCTGTTTTACAAAATGAAGATGTCCTTCTAGTCATACACAACACAGTGCCCAGAGGGTGCGCACTTGACTCCTCACACACAGACACCACTGGGAAGGGCCCTGTGTACATTGAGGGCCTTGGACACCAGGAAAGGAATGGGCTCGAGGCAGCATTACTCCAGTTGCTCCTGGGATTGCTGCCTCACTTCTCTAACCTTCCACTTCCATTCCTCTGTATTTTGTGCTTCGTGGCTTTACACTCCCATTTGCCTGACCTTTTTCTCTGAAAGACTGAAAATTACTGAGAAAAGGGGACTCTGAGCATCTGGTTGGTAGCAAATGTTATATTTGTATTTAGCAACAAAGCACATGTCAGGATGTTTTCATAAAACAATCACATGGTTTAATGTTGGCATTGCCATTGTCTTGTGCATGTTTTTTTTTATATGGCTCTCAGTTTTCCATCAATTGCCAAATACATACAGCATATTTAAAATGCTTTTCAAAGTAACTAAAGCACACTGAGAATGAACTACATTTCCCTACTGAGAATTATTCACAAGTTGTGAGATAGCTAGATAGCTAGTCAGTACTCATTTTTATCTAAAATAGCAGATTTGTAGTGGTTTTCTCTGATAAGCTATGACTTCACTATTCAGCTTAGAGAGTCAGAGACCTGGAGTAGTGATGTGCTTTTGACTGTTATGATGACTACCCTGAATACTTTAAAACAAGAGGACTGCAAGTAGTGAGTAGAACCCCGGTCCGGCTGTGGGTGATGCGCAGGACTGTAGAGACTGAGCAAGTACCCCGTACTGAGATTCACCTGTTCCCTCCTCGCAAATTGTCACCCCTGTGTAGCATGTGCACATTTAGTGTCATACCAAGTGCTTCGCAATTCGCTTAGTTCTATTCTGCTATTTAAATATTACTTTTCAAAGAACTTAGTTGTACAGATCAATAGATAATGATTCAATTATAAAATTTAAATTTTTCTTTTTTTTTTTTTTTGGGTCCGGTCATGGGGCCTGAACTCTGGGCCTGGCACTGTCCCTCAGCTCTTCAGCTCAAGGCTAGCGCTCTACCACTTGAGCCACAGTGCCACCTCCGGCTTTTTTCTTTTTGCTTATGTGGTACTGAGGAATCGAACCCAGGGCCTCGAGCATGCAAGGCAAGTGCTCTACCACTGAGCCACCTTCCCAGCCCTTAAATTTTTCTTATACTCAAGGGACCAAAGACATTTTTGTCAGCCTTTTCTTAGTGTCAGTTTGTTTCACTAGATCTCCAATTTGCTATAATAATAGTTTTAAATTCTATACATTTATTACAAACTAATGAAAATAGCGAAGAGAGTTGCATTCAAATGAAGTGCCACACTTGGATTTCTTGATATTTTCAAAACACTTCTGTAGACCTTCACCAGACACGACATGCTCCTACTCACCAAAGAGAAATGGAAACCACATCTCCTTGTAATAAACGTATGGCTACTGGCAGAAGCAGTCTGAAAATAATTATAATACATGGCAAGAGTGCTATAATAATATTTGTACAAATGATAGGAAGTGTAGATAATGGATATTTATTTCTACAAGGGGAGTAGTCAGAAGAGGTCATGTTTAATCTGAGTCTTGAAGGATAAATAGGAATTTGGAATACGGAGAAGGGAGAAAATGGCATTCCATTCAGGGGATAAACAAAGGAGCAATCATTTATCCACTCCTAACTCGGGAACTCTGCTGGGTATGCAGTCTAACAAGCGCAATCCTGATAATCTGTTTCTTTCCCACTACAGGGCCCTGGAATTAGCTGTAAAATATAAAACCCACGTAGATACAGTGCTGGCATACCGTCAGAAGTTTCTGGAGACCTTTGGTAAACACGAAACTAATAAACGATACTTGCAATATGCAGAAGGTGTAAGTATTATACAGTATTTTATAAGAACATAGATGCTGTGTGTGTGTACATGAAACATTCATCTTATGAGTGCTACTATAATTTCAAAATTTTTTTTTGCTTTATGACATAGCCTACTTTTGTGACTGAAGAAGTAAATATTTTGTTGAATTCTTATAGCCATATTTGGAGTTACTCAAATCTTTTTATAATATTCAATTTGTCTTAAATGGGGTGCCACTTGCTATTTTAGATCTATTAATAATGTAAATGGCTAGGATAAAAGTGAACTCCTGAATTGTGTCCTCCGCTCACTTGCCCCTTCTACTCCAGCGTGAATATATACACAAAGGAAAATGCATGTGTGGAATCCTAGAGGTTAGCTTGTACCACATAGAAATACTTAGTTTAAGCTGAAAACCAAAGATTCAACCTTTGCCTCCCAAACTCCTACTAGAATCTCAAATGTAATGACCCTAACAAGAAAAAAGAATTCCAGTACACATCAGCCCACAAAGAGAGCCCGAGCAAGAGCATTCACCCTCGCTCCCAGAGTGGCATAACTGATAGTTGACCTTATATAGGCTGTCCAAGGCCCAGGGAAGGGAAAGATTGCTCACCACTCTATGGAAATCCAAGAGGTTTGACTCTCAAGGGCTGTGATTCCAAAACAGGCCAGCCTTGATTTTGGCTCAGCGAACTAGTTTGCTTAGCCTTTTCCTTGTTCATTCATTCAAAAGTTTATGACATTTTACTCTGGGCTGGTACTAAGTGTTGAATAGGATACACATAACTTATTGTGGCTTATAAACTATGTGGGTATATTCCATCTTGGGATACAATAAAATAGAATGTTCTGTAAGGCCCTGAGTTTGATCCCTACACTTTGGAAAGGAAGCAAAACTAAATAACTAAATAAAATGGGATATTCTGATTTGTCCCAAGGTAGGTTAAGAAACCTTGAGATATGGAGAGAGGTGGAGAGAAGGCACCTACAATGTCTACTAAAAGCCAGTATTACCTACTTATACAGTGTTTCAAACACCACAGGTGCCATGATCTACGTTCTTGAATTTCAGAGCAGCTTTGCAGGGAGTGAGGCCATTGAGACCAGTCTTAGTATTAGTGCTACTTTAGTGTTGACTTCCAAGATAGCTCCTGAAAATCCACAAGACATTTGTACATTTTGGGCCATACATAAGGCTTTTGCTGCTCAGGTCCCTGGGATCTCATATTACACTGACTCAGACTCTCACAGCAAGGCAGAAGTCACCAGAGGCCACTTGATCTTTTTGTTGCAGTCTGAAACTTTGGCTATATGTGGAAACTGAGCACTTACCTTAAATTTATCCTATTTATAAATTTTATGTGCCCACCCTGTTTCTTTCTCATCACTGTCTTGACCAATATTTTTTTTTAGTATTGGCACATTAGGTACTTTTGAGAACACATATAAGAAAATAGTCCTTAGTCTAAATACAGTTGTATTTTAGATAGCAAGACCGCAAAATCCTTAAATCTTCTTCATTATGTGTGTGTGTTTCAACTGCTGCCCGAATGTTTAATCAACAAAATATTCAGAAGGGTAACAGAGATTTCCAAGATGGGATAATGAGAATAACATGACTGTGTTGATAGTATTTTCTTTTTATCCCAAAACCATGTATATGGGTTACTTTGAACCACCATGACACTGTGTTCTAAGTTAAGTAAAAAATCACAAAACAGTATTCTAAGATGAAAATGCTCTAAACCTGGAAATGCCAAACAGAAGTGAGAGCAGTCCTTTCCATGGGCTAGCTATCAACACTCCCCCTCCCCCCATCGTGTGTACTCCAGCAGGTGTAGTTGATGGACTTTGGGTGTAGCAAAGCAGCCATTGTTCGCTGGGTCATCAGTGTGTGGTTCTCTTCTGATTGATTTGAAAAACACAGGAAGGTCAGTGCAAGGATGGAAGGAAACCAACACATTCATCAAGTTTTGTCTTCAGGATTTTGGAGGCGGAGGCTTGAACTCAGGGCCTGGGCACTGTCCCTGAGCCTCTGTGTACTCAAGGCTAGTGCTCCACCACTTGAGCCACAGTGCCACACTGGTTTTTGAGTGGTTTATTGGAGATAAAGAGTCTCATGGGGACTTTTCTGTCAGGACTGGCTTTGAACCTCCATCCTCAGATCTCAGCCTCCTGAATAGCTAGGATTAGAGTGTGAGCCACCAGCACCCGGCTGTCTTCCTTCCTTTTTACTTAATAAATTATTTTCATTATCCTTAAGTAGTTATATAAAGGAAAGGGGTTTCAATTCAACATACAGCTTGTGAGTACAATGCACTGTGATCAATGTTACCCTTGTCTTCCTCTTTATTATCAATGCTTTGTTAGACTAGAAACAAATATTTTGCCATGTAAAAATATCAAGTTGGGGGGACTGGGAAGGTGGCTCAGTGGTAGAGCGCTTGCCTTGCATGCATGAGGCACCACATAAGCAAAAAGACAAAAGCCGGAAGTGGCACTGTGGCCCAAGTGGTAGAGCACTAGCCTTGAGCTGAATAGCTGAGGGACAGCACCCAGGCCCAGAGTTCAGGCCCCACGACCAGACCCCCCCCAAAAAAATCAAATTGGGATATTATGAAAATCCTGGTTGTAAAATGAGTCTTTCAAATAATTCAGTACTTGCTGTACTTTTCAACAAGCTGACATTTGCATCTTACCACATCAATTTATCTCTTAGATAAAAAGATTTTTTCTATTAATTATTAATGTACCTATTTTATATATTATCAATAAATATATAGAATTATTATTTTTTTAGAAAAGTATCCAAAAATATCTACAGATTACTTCATGGAAATTTAGATATAACCTTAGAATGAGTCAGAAATGAACAAGTTCTTATCTCTACACAGAACAGTGTAGTATAGGTAGTATTAAACCAGACAGAGTACTACTTGCTAACTGAACATTTATCTTAGGTAACTATGAGATCTGTTTATCTTTTTTTTTTTTTGTCAGTCATAGGGCTTGAACTCTGAGTTAGCAAGTAGTACTCTGTCTGGTTTAATACTACCTATACTACACTGTTCTGTGTAGAGATAAGAACTTGTTCATTTCTGACTCATTCTGAGGTTAATTCATAATAAACTAGGTTAATCTAGGACTGAGTGTTCTCAGAGAAGACACACAATCCTGTTGTTCCACTTGGTTGAACAGTAGGATGTGTTTTCCTAAGAAAATGGCTCATAGAATTTACATGCAGAGTCCTTTCCCAAAGCCAGCTGGAGGAAGGAGAGGCACACACATAAAAATGCTAACACTTTTCAGTTACTTTTTATATGTGTCTCATTCTTGCCTGCCTTCTGCTTCCTCTAATGTTTCTTCATCTCTCACTCTTAATGACCACCAGATAGATCTTCAAAGCACTTAAAGAGTTGTTGGCAGTGGATTTTCTGGTGTAAACTATGCTCAAGGGAACCAGTGTTCTCCTGTCTTTTATAGCTATGCTTCAATATGGAAGATGTAAAAAGCTAACATTGTGGAGATAGTGCTTTGTGGACACAGTCTTATCCACTTCTCTTTTTTTTCTCTTTTTTGTGCTTGAACTCAGCTCCTCACATTCTGACTTAGCTTTTCCATTCAAGACTGGCATTCTTCCATTTGAGCCACAGGTCTGTTTCCTGTTTTTCCTGGTAGATAAAAGGAAAGAATCTTGGGGATTTTTCTGCCTGGCCTGGCTTCAGACTGGGACGTTTAGACCTCAGCCTTTTATAATCAGATTTTTGTCTCATATAAACAGATTTTACATCCAATGTGAGTCTGCTTTTTGGTATACAATTGTTCTATTTGATGTTATACTTAAAGATAATTCATGTTCTTTCAGCATTAAGTTTTCTTGATGTTTTCTTTTTCTCTACTGCTTTAGAAATGGATATATTCTGGTTTTGTTTATTCTCAGTCACTTTTTAAAATGTTTGACCATTTTATTTTTTAATATCTTTGGTTTAATATCTTTGGAAGTAGAGGTTTCACTTCCACATGTTACTTCATAAGTACAGTTCATTTTGATCCATGTCACCTCTTCCTTCATTTTCCCCTCCCAGCCTCACCCAAGTTACCTTGAATTAAACAAAAAGACCTGTACTATAGAAGCATATTTCTTCTTCTCTGTTTTGTAGCTCGAAATAGATTGGGAGAAAATCAATGCCAAAATCGAGATGGAAATAACTAAAGAACGGGAGCGGTCCTCAAGCAAGAGTATTGGGCTAAAGCACTGAACGCCATCTCAGCCTTCAGGAAGTTACACCCATAAAAGGAATTCCCATTTAACAGAAGATAAGCATGGTATGGTTGCTAAGGAACCAGAGCATAAAAGGTGTAGTTCAGGGGTAGAAGGCTGTAATTCAGTGGTAGAAGGCTTGCCTAGCGTGTATGCACGGTCCTCCAGTACCTCAAACAAGAAAGGATAATGACATATTCTTTAGTTACAAGCACTTTGTATGCATTGAATGCCAACAGTACATTCAGAAAGACTAAGCACAAAATAATTGACATGATTCTATTATACTCTTCAAGTCTAATAATTAGCAAAATATTTCTATATTCCTGTCACCTGTGTAGTGCTGATTATATTCCAGGTTTTGGTTCACACTATTTTGTCCTTGATTCTTCAGCATGAACAAAGAATAATGCTGATAATAAAACACTGGACTCTCTCAAATGCATGTTAGCATTAATTTGTATATGGCCTCTAAATTATAAAGTGCCTCCAAAGTTGATATAAGAATATACGAGGATGGATTTGTGAAAATATACTGTACATCAAAGCTAAGAGCAGCATTTATTCAAATAGCATAAGGTCAAAACAACTCATCTGTCCATCAGTAGATAAACAGATAATTCAAGGTAGTATGCCATCCAGTGGAATAGTATTCAGCCTTAAAAATTCAGATGAACTTTAAAAAAATTACTGTAAGTGAAGACATAAAAAGTCAAATATTGTATGTTGCTACTTTCATAGGAATCTAGAAATAAGTTCTTAGAGACGGGAAGGAGAATCGTGCCGGTGAGGAAGTAGGGCAAGGGGAAACGGAGGTTTATTTTCTTGTTAATGGGTACAGAGCTTCTGTTTGGGATGAGCAAGTTCTAAAAGTGCACTGTGATGGCCTCACTATTCCATGAATGCTGATGCCATCAAATTGCACTCCTAAAATGCTTAAAATTGTTACATTGTTATATATATATATATATATATATATATCATAATTTAAATGCATATGTAGAAGGAGCAAGAAGTATTTTCCTTGTTCTCTTCCTGCAGACAGCAGCCCTGGAGTCTAAATTGGTGAAATTCTTCCTCAGGTGATAAACCTGCTCCATGGACTAACCTTAACTCAGTAGGTTCCCTTGAAAGTGTGTTACAGTAACATAAATACCCTGAACTTGGTTTGGAAGTAGAGTGTTATAGAGAGGGCACAGCCCATGTATAAACACAGGCAGGAGAGGAGAGGGTTACCCCTCACCCCTATCCTAATAACTGTATCAAGGTTTTTTGTATAAAAATGTTCTTTAATTTCCAACTTGTTTCCTTTGTTTTCTGGAATATTCGGTTCTTGATCCAGATGCTGGACTCAAGAATGTGTTCAGTTTGTGAACTTTTTGAGCAGTTGCTTATAAATTGTACTTACTAGATTTGTATATGTTTTCTATATTATATTTCAATGAAAAAATTTAAAGTAATTGGGTAAATTTTATGTTGTATATATTTTACTACAATAAAAACGTTATATAAAAAAAAAGAGGTGTGTATTCTAACAACCGTTCTCTGCTGTGTCTTCAATTCAGTTAGATTCGGACCCTTAACTATTAACTTGGAATTAGCCTCAAGTTGGCAGCCAAGTCCCCCAACCCCAAACTGTCCTGCTTTCAGACAGCAGCCATAAGAGCAGTTGCTAGGTTACATTGGTGACACATTTGGGGTTCCCTGTGGCCTCTCCTTCAAGTTGGATACTTCGTGTGACACACAAGTCAGACAACTTGGCTACAAATGTGGGCATTCTCACTATCCTTCAGGTTCTATAATTTGCTAGAATGATTCACAGAACTCCTGGATACCCTCTTGTTACACTTTGGGGTTTATTGTAAATGGTTCAATGCAGAAATAATCCAGTGGGAGATACGTATAAGTCAGATTCTGGGGTGAAGCTTAACTGGGAGGGGGATGACTGAAGAGCTTCCATGTCTCTCCTCCCTCCTGCTGGAATCTGGGTGCCCCACCAGCTCAAGAAGGAGTTGACACACAGGAGGCTTGGCCTAGCCGCAGTGTCCCAGTATCTTTTCCATTTTCCGGCAAGTTTTCATAGAGAAGATTGACTTAATTCACTGTCCATATGACTGAGCTCACTCTTTTATCCCCTTCACTTCCTGGAGGTCGGGGGCTGAAGGAGCCAGCCCACGAATCATGGCTGTCTAATGGCTTCAGGGCTTCATTAGCATAATGAAGATATTCCAAGTTTTTGGAAGCTGTGTACCATGAACCACAGAGAAGCTCCATGTTTATGTCTTATTCTATCGTAAGTCTTTACTAGCCATATTAAATTTGGTTTTTAAACTTACACTTTAAAAAATATATATCACAGAAGCTTTTCCCTTGGTTTAGCATGAATACTTCTATATGTTTTTGGAAAATGATGTAATTTTTTGCTTTGGCATGTGTGTATAAATGTTTTACCTTTTTTAAAATGTAACAAAGAAGAATATCCACAATGCTTGACAACAGGCCCTGTTTGAATGATATTTCTGTATTATGATCTAAATAATGTTTTTGTACATAGGGAACATATGGTAAGTTTTAAAGCAAATATATATATATATATAGTTATATATATAATATAATAAATACATAATAATATATAATATACATAATATATAAATATATATATTTGGGTCCAGTCGTGGGGCCCTAAACTCTGGGCCTGGGCACTACCCCTCAGTTCTTCAGCTCAAGGCTAGCACTCTACCACTTGAGCCACAGAACCACTTCTGGCTTTTTTCTTTTTGCTTATGTGGTGCTGAGGAATCGAACCCAGGTCCTTAGGCATGCAAGGCAAGCGCTGTACTACTGAGCCACCTTTCCAGCCCCAAAGTTTTAAAGCAAATATATTTTAAGAAATCACTTAGTGGAAAAAAAAAATCATGAGTAGCCATGGAAGATTATCTCCAGATATCTGTCATTTTGGTACATGTGGGAAATAGATGCCTCTCTGAGGGCTTGGAGGCGTAGCTCAGTGGTAAACAGGCCTGCCCAGCAGGTGCCAGGCCCCAAGTTCAAACCCCAGTACTAAAAGAAAATAAAATTAAGTTAAAAAATACATTAAAGGGGCTGGGAAGATGGCTCAGTGGTAGAGTGCTTGCCTTGCATGCCTGAGGCCCTGGGTTTGATTCCTCAGCACCACATAAGCAAAAAGAAAAAAAAAAAGCCGGAGGTGGCTGTGGCTCAAAGTGGTAGAGCACTAGCCTTGAGCTGAAGAGCTGAGGGACAGCACCCAGGCCCAGAGTTCAGGCCCCATGACTGGACCCAAAAAAAAAAAAGAAACAATATGCCACATAACCCCATTTAGAAACAATACTTTGTTTCAAATGTATTTTTCTTATTTTTTAAAAAATATTAGCACACAGGTAGTGTACAAGGGCCGTTTCATCTTGATATCTTTTCACGTTGCTATGCAATCCATCCTATCATCCTCACCCCTCTATCACTCTTCCTTTTTCTTTTCTTTTTTGGCTGATACTGGGGATTAAATTCAGGGCTCTGAGCTCTTTCTTTTTACTCAGCTGGTACACTACCATTTGAGCCACATTTTTTTTTTTTTGGTGGTTGTGGGGCTTGAACTCTGGGCCTAGGCACTGTCCCTCAGCTCTTCAGCTCCAGGCTAGCACTCTACTAGTTGAGCAACAGTGCCACTTCCAGTTTTCTGGTGGTTTATTGGAGATAAAGAGTCTCCTTTCCTGCCTGGGCTGACTTTGAACTGAAATCCTCATATCTCATCCTCCTGAATAGCCAGAATTACAGGTATGAGCCACCAGTGCCCAGCAACTTGTTAATTTTTTTTTTTTTTTGCAGGTTGTGGGGCTTGAACTCTGGGCCTGGGCACTGTCTCTCAGCTTTTCAGCTCAAGGCAAGCACTCTACCACTTGAGCCACAGCACCACTTCCGGCTTTTTCTGTTTATGTGGTGCTGAGGAATCGAACCCAGGGCCTCATGCATGTGAGGCAAGCACTCTACTGCTGAGCCACCTTCCCAGCCCTCCTTGTTAATTTTTATAGTGAAAAAAAGGTCAGACCTTACTATCATGTACATACCACTGAAAAGGAACTACACAGTAATGAAAACACCTTGTTAGGCTGCAGACGGGGTGTAGAATAGTTACTGGTCAGGTTTAATACTATGTGCAGAGACAAAGGGAAGGTGGTGGGCAGCTCTTCTGCAAGGACCCCTTCTTGCCATCCGTCCCCTGGCCCTCATCTGCAGTGTCTTCTGTGCAGTGGGAAGTGACATTTGGACCAGAAGATTTACGAGATTCTCATAATCCTTTATGGCTTCTGAACTCAGTCATCTTGTATTCTGCCTGCTTCCCTCTCCATCTCCTCTGCCCCTTGAGCTCAGCAGAAGCTGAGTGACCATGCACATGTGCAGTCCTGGCCAGCATGTACTCCAGGACAGCGTGCTCAGGGATTTTTAAGCTAGACTCTCAACTCTCAGCCCCTTCAACTTAGAGCTTCCCACTTTTCACACAGGCTCAGATGTCCTAGACTATAATTTTCTGTTACCGATGGGTTCACTTTTTTGGTTGATAAATTACCTTCCCTTAATTCTACCAGATCGTAGCTTTTTCATCAGTGGATAAAACAAAGTCAATTGAGAGCCATGAAGTCACATACAGACTTGCCAAATAGCCTCTTATCAAAGGGTTTATGAAACCTGGAGAGATGACTTACATCATTGTTCTCTCCTCCTGGAAACACAAACTTTGCAATTTATGAAATTTTTATGAACATCAATGGTGACTATTGCTCAAATCTGAACCTCACATTTGGGTGTCCTGCCTATCTGTTTCAGCTCTGAGTTGGCTCCTTTATTAATTCCACTTGAGAGAAACTGTACACCTAAAGTTTCATCATTAAGGCACTCAGCATCTTTCTTCTTAACCTATTAAGTGAGGCCATTTCCTTAATATGCCCTTCAACCTGCACAGTTCATTGTTGTTTTCCCTAAAGAGTGGGCGTCACACCTCTTGCCATAATTGCAACACCATTTTTCATAGTTGGAGCACACTCATTTGCAGATCATGGCAATTAATGACCTCTTAAAAAAATTTTTTGCCGGGTGCTGGTGGCTCACACCTGTAATCCTAGCTAATCAGGAGGCTGAGATCTGAGAATCATAGTTCAAAGCCAGCCCATCAGGAAAGTCCGTGAGACACATTTCTAATAAACCACCAGAATACCGGGAAGTGGCGCTGTGGCTCAAGTGGTAGAGTGCTAGCCTTGAGCTGAAGAGCTGAGGGACAGCCCCCAGGCCCAGAGTTCAAGCCCTACGACTGACCTAAATAAAAAAACACAAAACAATTTCTCTGCCAAGAAGATGTGCCCCCCACACACCAGATTATGATATTTAACAAACTGCTTGAAGGCTACTGGTGCTTACACATTCTATGCATATCACAGGTACTTATGTATCTAGAACATTCTTTAGAAAAATTAGTCATGCTTTCTACCTTTTAGATGGATTACCATATTCAGGACTATTCTTTTCCTACTCCTGAGAGTTCCATGAAATCAGAATGGACTCAGAATGTTTTTGTGTTTGAAATCAGGAGAAAAGGGTTAGTAGTCCTGGGAACACAGCACTCCAGGTAAGTTTGATGAAGATATCTATATACAAGTGCCCTAAATTTAGACTTATTTTCCATATTAGTTTCATTAACATTCTATGCCGCAAATTGATGTTCTCTGTATAGTTGGAGAACATACCATTCTCAACTACATATAGAATATTAAAAATTACCTCATGAATTTAAGTGGCAGGATAACTGTTCTCTTAATCACTTCCCTTAATCACTGTTCTTTGGGTATTTAGATGGAAGTTTCAAATACAGGCTAAGTACAATAAATGTTGGGAGCTAGTGGCTCATACCTGTAATCCTAGCTACTAAGTCAGCTGAGATCTGAAGATAGGGGTTTGAAGCCAGTCCACGCAGACAAATCTAAGAGACTCTTATCTCTAATTCACCATCAAAAAGCTGGCAATGAGCAGGCCACTGGTGGCTCAGACCTGTAATCTTAGTTATTCAAGAGACTGAGATTTGAGGATCATGGCTGAAGCAGGAAAGTTCATGAGATTCTTATTTCCAATTAACCACAGAAAACTGGAAACAGAGTTCTCTTAATCACTTAAGATTCTGGCTTTTCCATAAAAAATATGTAGGT